CATTTCAAAGTAATTTTGAATTTCTCTTGTCATTTCTTCTGTGCCTGGTGAGTCTTTCAGAAACATGTCGTTTCATTTCCAGTTTTTTTTCCAGATATTTGTTACTGACTTCTACTGAATTCTGTTGTGGTCAGAGAACATATTCAGGAGGATTCCAATGCTTTTAAAGTTATTGAAACTTGGCTTTGGCCCCACATTTGGTCCATCTAGGTGAATGTCTCATGGGTACTCAGAAAAGAAATACACAGGGTAGAGTGTTTCATTGAACACAGTAAAAAGGCAATTAAGCCAAGTTAATTAATACGGTTGTCCAGGTCCTCTTAATCCTTACTGAATGTCTGTCTACTTACTCTACCCTTTGCTGAGGGAAGGCTGTTGAAATCTCCATTTGTAAACTGGAGGGGAGGGGAAAGAAAGAAGGAGGAGGACGGAGAAAGGGAGCTGAGTGAATAAGCATCCAGCTTAATATGTTTTTACCAACTTCTTTAATGCAATTTCCATCATCAGTGTGTAACATAAGCCAAATAATTATTTTAACATCATACCCAGAGGGAAAGAAAAAACACAGGGTTTTCCTCATGTCTCTATATAAACTGAAGCATTACTTTCTATCACAGGAGCTGTTAAAATGGAGCAGCAAGAAGAAAGATATTTTGCCTTTTGGATAAATCCTAGATCATTGTGTTCCAGGCTGAAAGCAATTTACCTTCATTGGGCTTAAATTACATAAAAAAACAAATGAAGCATTATTCAGATTAGAACAAAAGCTAAAGGGCAAAAATAAGGAAATGATTTGCCTCACAAGTTTACTTCATAGGGGCAATTTCTCCAGATTTCAAAGAATAAAAAATAGTGACCCAACACCTGCTTAACTAGATGGCTGTGGAACGTGTTTACCATGTTTCTGTATGTGAACCACTGCAAACTGCCTGAATACTGATTAACTTTCAAATGCATATAACACCCAGGAAAGGCCAACTATCCCAATATGCCACCACAATATTCTGCAAAAGTTAGTAGGAAGAATTGTATTGCCTTTTATAAAATATCAATGAGAACTCTTTATAACATATAAATATACATTTTATGTTATTTTTTATAAAATATCAATTAAGAAGTTTTGAAGGCATTAAATATAAGTGATTTCTGTAAGAAACTGATACTTAACCTCCTAAAAAATTAAAAGGAGGGAAAGAGAAATAGGAAAATACCTTGTAAGAAATAATACTGTCCTAGATTTTATGAAGGCGATTCAAATACTGGGAAGGAGGACCGACTGCATAACTGCTAAAAGCTCCTACCAATATTTGCTGATTTGACAAAGCACTTACTGAGTGTCTTCTAAGAGCCACTGTGCTATACGTTGGGGATGCAATGGTGAAGACAGAGTTTTTCCCATAAAAGGCTTACGGGCTGGTGTAAGAAGTAGACAATAAAGCAGAAAACAAATGAAACAATTGTAATTTATGGTAAATGGTATAAAGGAATTAAACGTGATGCTGAGCTCAATGTTAAAACAGAATGTCAGTAAGACCTCTCTGAGCTGTGGGATGAACAAAATACAAAGCACTTTAGATTAGAAAAGACCAGAATGCCTAATCTCACACCTTCTAGTCATTATTGTATTAGAGGTCTTAGCCAGTGTGATAAGAACAGGAAATAAAAGTTATTCAAATTGGAAAGGAAGAATTAAAACTAATCCTATTCATAAACAACCTGGTTAACTATATGGCAAATCCTATCTACAAAGTAACTACTAAAATATGTAAGAATTTAGCAAAGCCCTAAAATACAAGGTCACTAGATAAGAATCAATGACAGATTTGCTCACATCACACAATTTTGAAATGATTTTGAAACAAGTCCATTTGCAATAACATCACAAAACAATCAATACTTAGGAATACATAAATAAGAGATCTGCAAGGCTACTGTGTGGAAAACCACAAAATACTACTGAGAGATATTAAAGAGGATCTAAGTAAGTGGAAAGATACAGTCAGTTCATGGATTGGAAGACTCAGTGTCGCTTAAATGTTAATCCTCTCCAAACTGATCTATAGAGTCAATGCAATCCCAGTCATAATCCCCATAGGGTTTTTAAAGAAACTGACAAGCTGCTTATAAAATGCATATGGAAATGCAAAACAACAACAATAACAACAACAACCTTAGAATCCCCAAAACATCTTGAGAAAGAAGCAAAAAGTTCAAGGACTTATATTGCTTAATTTCAAGACTCAGCATGCAGACGTGGTAATCAACACAGTGTGCTACTGGCATAATGAATCAATGGAACAGAATAGAGGATGCAGAAATACACTCACACTTATACGTGGTAAACTTACTTTCCACAAAGATGCCAAAACAATTTATTGGGAAAAGAAAGTCTTTTTCAACAAATGGTGCTAGAAACACTTATATCCAAGTGGGGAAAAGGAAGGAAGGAAGGAAGGTAGGAAGACAGGCAGGCAGGCAGGCAGGAATAAGGAAGACAATCCTTACCTCACAACTTTCAAATAATTACAATTGATCACAGAACTAAATGTAAAAGCTAAAATTATAAAGCTTCTGGAAAACGTGTAGACTATCTTTACAGGAAATATTTATGCAGAAGATTTCTTAGGCAGGATACAGAAAGAAATGGTAAACTATCAAAATTTAGAACTTATGCTCATTAAAAGACATTAAGAAAAGCCACAGACTGAGATAAAATATTACAAAACTTAAATCGGAAGAGGGCCTATATCCAGTTTATGTATACATTAAAAAAATACAAACTCTTACAATTCAATTTTTAAAAGGAAACAATCCAATAAAAGAACAGGCAAAGAAAATGAACTCTTCAGAAAGAAAGAGAGATGAATTGCCAACCACACGGTTCATGGGTGTGTCATCATGCAAACAGAAATTAAATCTTTGAGATATCACTTCACAACCACTAGAATGGCAGTTAAGAAGACTGGCAATATCAAATTTCGGCAACCAAAAGTCTCATTTGCTGAAAAGCATATACAATGTTTTAGACTCCTCGTGCCTCTGGATCACAGGCAGAGAAGGGAGTTACTGTGCTGGCTGGGACGATGGATCCTGATTACCAAGGGAAACTGGGCTGCGATTCCACAGGGGAGGGAAGGGGAAGGAGGGAGAGCTCTTCCTTATCACCAGATGCCACCCAAAAACTATAAAAGGAACGATGGAGTCAGAATTAGTTACCAAAACTAGTGGACAAAAGGTTTGATGAGGAACAAAATACTTACATAGCCTCAAAAGCAATTTCCCACAAATTGCTTATTACTCGCAAAGGGAAAGCAAAGACAAGTCACAGATTTGGAGGGAATATTTGCAAAATACATATCTGATAGAGAGCTTGCGTCCAAAGTATATAAAGAACTCTCAAAGTCAGTAATATGAACGTAAACAACCAGTATTTTCACCAGTTGAGCAGAAGAGTTGAATACTTTCACTGAAGATGACAAATAAATGTCAAGTAAGCCCATGAAAAGGTGTCCAACATCATTACTCGTTAGGAAAATGCAAATTCAAACCACGAGGTATCACTATATACCTCTTAGAAAAG